GCAGGAAGCCTGCTTCTCCCTCTCCCACTCCCCTGCTTGTGTTCCCTCTCTAGCTCTCTCTCTCTGTCAAATAAATAAATAAAATCTAAAAAAAAAAAAAAAAAAAAAGACTTACTATAAAGCTTTAATAAAGAAGACTATATGGTATTAAAATGTAAGATAGACACATGGAAATCAATAGAACAGAGTTTAGAAATAGATCCACATAAATATGGTCGACTGATTTTTGTCAATGTACAATGGCAATTTAATGAGGAAAAAACATTCTTTTCAACATATGGTGCTAGAAAACCCATTGTCCTATGCAAAAAAATGAACTCTGACCTGTGCCTCACACCTATACAAAAACTGACTCAAAATGGGTCATAGATCTGAAAGTAAAATGCAGAAGAGAGAGGAGAAAATGTCTGTGACCTTGCTTCAGGCAAAGAATCCTTAGATATAACACCAAACACACAATCCATTTCTTAAAAATTGATACATCAGACTTCATCAAAATCAAATTTTGCTCTGCCAAAGACATTAAGAGAAAAAAAAGACAAGCTACAGACCGGAAAAATATATTTGGTTATAAACCTGACAAGGGACTTATATTCAGAACATATAAAGAACTCTCAAAACTCAACAATAAGAAATTACTATTTAAAAATGGGCAAAATATTTGAATAAACTCTAACAAAGAGGTTTTACAAATGGCAAGGTGCTCAATACCATTAGTCATGAGGATAATGTGAATTAAAACCAGAATGAGATACCACCACATCTATCAGAATGACTAAAATTTCTTAAACTAACAATACCAAGTCCTGGCAAAGATGCTGAACAACTGGCACTCTCATATGTTGTTGGCTGGAATGTAAAATGGTAGAGCCACTTGGGAAAACAATCCGGAAGTTTCCTATAAAATTAACCGTACAGTTACTATAGGATCCAGCAACCCGACTCCTAAAAATAAAAACTTATGTTCACAGAAAAACATACATGTGAATATTTATTGCATCTTTTTTTTTTTTTTTAAGATTTTATTTATTTGACAGAGAGAGACAGCGAGAGAGGGAACACAAGCAGGGGGAGTGGGAGAGAGGGAGAAGCAGGCTTCCCGTGGAGCAGAGAGCCCAATGCGGGGCTCGATCCCAGGACCCCAGGATCATGACCTGAGCCGAAGGCAGACGCTTAACGGCTGAGCCACCCAGGCGCCCCTATTGCATCTTTTTTTTAATAAAGATTTTATTTATTTGACAGAGAGAGAGAGAGAGCACAAGCAGGGGGAGTAGCAGCAGAAGGAGAGGGAGAAGCAGACTCCCCACTGAGCAAGTATCCCGACGTGGGACTCGATCCCAGGACTCTGGGACCACGACCCGAGCCAAAGGCAGACGCTTAATGACTGAGCCATCCAGGCACCCCCATATATAGCATCTTTATTCAAAATCACCAAAACTAGAAACCACACAATGTCCTTCAGTTGGAAAGTGGATAAACAAATTATGATACATCCATACAATGGAATACTACTCAGCAAAAAAAAAAAAAAAAAGGAATAAACTACTGATACATGCAACAAAATAGATGAATCTCGAATGCATTAACTAAATGAAAAAAGCTAGATTCAAAAGGCTACATATACTGTATAATTCCATTTATATAACAAGCTAGAAAAGGCAAAACTGTAAGGAGAGCAACAGATCAGTGGTTGTCAGGGTTTAAGAGCTGAAAAGAATATAACTACAAAGAGGCAGCACAAGTAAATGTGTTTTTGGAGAGAACAGTAATATATTTTGGTTGTGGTGATAGTTACACAACTGTATGCATTTGTCAAAAATCATAAAACTATACACCAAAAATAGTGAATTTTGCTGTATAGTAAATAAGTTTCAAAAATAGCTCATAACAATTTTTTTAAAAAAGGAAAGGCAATTTATAAGGAACAACAATAATAATACTGATTTAAAAACAATGTCTCCAGAACAAGGTCAGTTCATAAAAAGGGACACTCAGCTGGAGATGGATTTCAAAATTAAGGAAGAAATCTAGTTACCCAAATTATTGAATAATGTCCTGAAGGTGAAAATGCTGAGCTGATACTTTGGTATGCCTTTGGTCCTGATTTGTCTTAAGTGTCTGAGACAATTCTAACCATATTCCACATCACAGATGAGGGCAAAGGAAAGGTTCAGAGGCTAACAACCAGGCAGGGTTTTAGCCTTTATTTATACTAGTACCTCTCAATCAAGGGTTCTTATTCTTAACATGGAATACCTAGACAAAATTCTAGGAATCCATGAAAGTGGATGAAACATCTTTATTTTCACTAACCTCTAATTGAAATGTGGTATAGTTCCCTTAGATTATGAATGTATACAACTAACTGTGGTAGACTAAATAAGACTGTATCTCTATCACTCATAGAAATCAGATTTTTCCTGTCACATCATATTACCATTGATTCTTTGCTATCTTATTTTGTATGCATTAATAAACATTTATAAATAATGTATTTGAGGCGTCTTTTTAAGATTTTTATTTATTTATTTGAGAAAGAGCAAGAGATGGAGAGAGAGCAGAGGGACAGGAGGGAGAGGGAGAAGTAGACTCCCCGATGAGTAGGGAGTCCCAGGACCCTAAGATCATGACCTGAGCTGAAGGCAGATGCTCAACCTACTGAGCCACCCAAGGCACTCCTAATTGAGGAGCTTTAGTACTTTGATAAGTTTATTTCATATAATTGGTTTCCTTTATAATCTCGTGTTCTTCATTTCATACATTTAAAATACATTATACCTTTTAAAATACAAATAAAACATTATTCCAAGAGAGGGTTCATAGACTTCCCTGGAACACCGAAAGGATCCATGACAAATAAAAAGTTAAAAATCCCTGCTCTAAATGATCCTGCTCCCATCGTACACAGCACCACTTTTTTGAGGGTCTCTAACACCCTCATACATGCATGAAGTGTCACTCTCTCCGTGGGTATATAATAGTTTACACCCAAGACACGGAAATGCACAGCATTTTATTTAAACTATAATCATACTTGTTTGCACTCACTAGATAGTAAAGTCCATATAAAATTAAATCATATACATAGAGAGACCTTAGACTGAATACTACATTGTTATATAAAATGTACTTTCCAAAACTATAGATGAGAAAAGCCTAAGAGATCTATCCTATGACTCAAATAAAAAGGAATTTAATGAAATCATCTGAAAAATGATCATATGTTGCTAAAAATGCATGGAGAAGAGTAAGAAGTTGAGTTTTATTTTCTAAATCCTACGCTGTGCACACATTGCAATATCTTGTTTTCTCATTTAAAAAGTAAAAAACAGGGGTGCCTGGGTGGCCCAGTTGGTTAAGCATCAGACTCTTGATTTTAGCTCAGGTCATGATCTCAGGGTCGTGGGATCAAGTCCCACATTGGGCTCTGTGCTTAGTGGGGAGTTTGCTTGAGATTCTCGCTTTCCCTCTCCCTCTGCCGCTCCCCCTGCTCGCTCTCTAAATAAACAAATAAATACATAAATCTTCAAAAAAAAAAAAAGTAAAAAACAAAAGATCTCAAAACCTCAAAAAAACTAGATCACACAGATTTCTAAAATAAAATTCTTATGATTCCTTGGGTTAAGTAACAGCAAATTGCCAACCAAGTGGGATACAGCAGTTATTTATTTTTTTTAAAGATTTTATTTTCTTGAGAGAGAGAGAGCACAAGTAGAGGGGAGGGGCAGAGGGAGAAGCAGGCTCCCCACTGAGCAGGGAGCCCAACTCGGGGTTAGATCCCAGACCCCAAGATCATGACCTGAGCCGAAGGCAAATGCTTAACCAACTGAGCCACCCAGGCGCCCTGAGATAGCAGTCATTTAAACAATGAAAAAGCCAGAAGAGTAGGAGGTAGTGAGAGAATCTAAACTCCAAGAGCTGCAAATTCAACTGTGGATCAAGTGACAAATGAAAATTAAAAAAAAATATGTGGTCTGAAGATGATCTGGTCAGAAATACAGGGGAAAAAAAGAAGAAGAAATATTCTTGGAGAAAAATATTACAAATATTACAGTAAATATTACAAAATCAATTCTATTACAAAGGCATTATCTTCTTCTTATCAATAAAATGTATCAGTTAAAAATTTTTTTCAGTAGTAATACATTGCTTATTTTACAACAGAAATCAAGGGACAAACAGCATTTGCTTTTCCATATTTCCTATCATTATTTGATGACAAAATGAAATGTAGCCACACAAACCATTCAGTTTCAAAAGTATTTCATTTTTATACCTATAGCTACCAGAATTTTTTAAAACCTAAACAAAAATGTAATGTGTTCCATCTATAACAATTTGCCATACAGAATCACTATGTACCCATCTCAGAAAACTTGTAAAATACAAAAGAAAAAATTTCTTAAAAAGAAACCAGAATTCCCCATAATCTTATCAACTAGAAATAAACATTGTAACCATGTTATTTCTTCTATGGGTACGACCTTATGTATTAGTACTAATGCTATTAGTCAATGTCTATTAGTTATTTGAGCTATTTAACTAATAGCTTTATATACACTATTTCACTTTATACTTAAAACAATCCTACTCAAGCAGGTAGGTGAATAGTGCCATTTTACAGATAAGCCAACTAGAGATGACAGAGGTTAGGAAACCTGCCTAGAGTCACAGAGATAAGTGGTAGACCTGAACCCAGCATTCTCAATCACTATGCTATACCACCATAAATGTATATACAGAGAGAATGCTGTATTCTATTCTACTCTTGGGTAATATCTTAGATCATGAAAATTATGAATGAAATTTATAATTAAATTTAATATAATAGCATGTGGACATACCATAATTTTACTTAATCACTCCTCTACTGGACCAGATCATTTTTTATAGTATTCGGCATGGTGTGACTCATTCAATACAAAAAATAAAAACTAAATAAATGCAAGACTTGCTTGTCTACTTCTAAATTTAAATTAAAATATATTAATTCAACTTACTCTTTTACTGAGGCAAATAACTGGCCACATACTGCAACCTAACGTGCAGCAGCAACAAAGGCAGCCACAAAGTAGCCAACGTACATTAACAGGAAGGTTCTTCTTAAGACAACTGTTAACTCTGTTGATGCTGGCTTTAAATTCTTCAGGAGCTACCTAAAGAAAAATTTTAAGAAATAACAATACCGTAATATTAATGTCAATAAACATGTCTCATTTGCATAATTATTTCTATAATTTGTTAGGAAAAAATAGTACCTAAGTAAATGATAGACACTCACTTTTCCAGTTAATGAAGAAGGGAATTCTGATTCAAATTTGTTGCTCAGTCCAAATCTATTTTTAAAAAAAGGAGAAAAATATGTTATTACATGCCATTGTTGAGAAAAAGCCATTTAACTTAATCAAAGGTCAAGTAAATAGATGCGCAACTTGATATACAGAGTAACAATGGAAGTTTGAGACACACTGTAATCAGCAATTTATGAAATGTAACAAGCAATCTTAGCAGCTGAATCAAAACTTTTGTATAAGAGGCTGAGAATACAGAAAAGAAATGACTTCTTTGGGGCTCTGTTTGTAAGCAAAATATTAATGTAATAGAAAACAACACAATTATCTAATTTGTAAAAATTACTGAGATTCTTCCAACGAAGTACTAGAAAGCTACGATCTCTGCTATGGATTATTCTTTAGGTCAAAAGCACGTGTTAACACTCAAAAAAGCAGTAGCATGTCTAAGAATGCAAGTTGATCAGTTAGCATTTTCTGAGGCCAGCATATCCACACTGTTGTTACAGCCAGAAAATGCTAAAAAAAACACCTAGAACAATGTGATAGCTGCCTGCCTACTTAAACTTACAAGTAATACAACACTTGCTATTCTTTGGGGAAAGAAATGGAACTGAGGTAGTACATTTTAGTATCTTTAAGCTTTTAAATGTCTGCAAAAATCATAAGGATTGATTGGGCACTTGACTATTTCTTTGTGTAAGTTATTAGGAAAGAATAAAATACTCATGAACATATTGGTAATGGCAGATTGCACCTAGAAATAAAAACTGAGATATTTAAATAGGACTTTTGTTGGATCCTGAAGCCAAAATTGTTTTCAGTTTTATTGAGATATACTTGACATATAACACTGTATTGGTTTAAGGTATACAACGTAATGATTTGATACATGTCTATATTGTGAAATGATTACCATGATAAGTTTGGTTAACATCCATCTCCTCACATAGTTAACAAATTTTTTTTCTATGATGAGAACCCTTAAGATTCACTGTCTTAACAACCCTTATAAATACACCGTACTGCACTTTATGTAGTCTGCACTAGTAAGAGGGATCTTCTGAGATACTCTGCCTCAAACAGCTGGCCAGGTCAGGGGCTTTCAACTCAACCATCAGTACAGCTAAACAGGGAAATCGAATTAACATGGGCTGTGTGAAAGCAGTAAGGAATGGTGGAGACTGGCCAAGTGGAGGGTATACAGAATGGGGCGGGGGGGGCGGGCGTCATGGGTCAGATTCAGCTGATTACTATCATATTAGAATGCAGGCCCACGTCTGAGAGATTGTATGATTTTCTTTCTCTAAGAGGAGCTGGGAAACCAGATTTCTATGTAAACTTTCCCATCTTTAAAATACTGTGCAAGGCAAACCAAACACTTCAGTGGCCAGGTTGTGGTCTACATCACTATCTAGACTTCCCTACATGTGGATGGTGGCATTGGAGACCATTTTATCACCATCTTAAGTAATTTTATACATTATTTTATAGCACTGAATGACATTAATCTGTCTTTATAAATAATGGATACTACTTACGGAAAAGATCACAATGCAACTACCTAAGTCCAAGCCAAAATTCTTTTCATACTAAACATGTACCTGCAACTGTTATTTTTCTACATAATTCTGGCATTAATGCCATTCTAAGACTGACAGACTCAATTAAATTCATTTTCTGTCTATACGCCTCACTGCAATATGGTTCTACTTGCCCCAAGAGATAACTCACTTCCAACCTCAAAACTCCTGAAATGAGGAAAAGATGTGAAATGCTAGGTGATAGCTCTCAGTGAGGTCTCTAGATAATGTATCTCCTTTTTATCCATTTCCCTTAGGGAAGAGGACAATCAACAAATGTTTATTGAGTATAAATTATAAATTTCCATCTCCTCAAGTATTATCTCCATTGGTCTGAAGGTTTTCTCTATGAATCATCTCCATTTCAACCATGTTTATTTTTTTAAAGAACTTATTTATTTGAGAGAGAGAGACCGCGAGCATGAGGGGGGGGGGAAGGGGGTAGGGCAGAGGGTGAGGGAGAAGCAGGCTCCCTGCTGAGCAGGGAGCCCGATGTGGGACTCAATCCCAGGACCCTGGGATCATGACCTAAGCCGAAGGCAGACATTTAACCAACTGAGCCACCCAGGCGCACCTCAACCATGTTTATTATTGCAATTAACCATCTCCTTCCAACTGCCTGAAATTTTTTAGAAAAGCAACAACCAGATACCTCCAAGTCTCCTTTGTTTTTTGTTTTTGTTTTTTTTAGAGAGAAAGAGAGCACAGGCACGCAAAGAGGGGGAAGGGCAGAGGGAAAGAATCTTAAACAGGGTCCATGCCCAGCGAGCGCAAAGTCCAACCTGGGGCTCCATCTCACGACCCTGAAATCATGACCTGAGCCAAAAAGAAGAGTCCGACACTTAACTAACCCACCCAGGAGCCCCCCTCCAAGTCTCCTAAATAGAAAAGTCTTCCCCTTTCATCCCAGCCATTAAGACATTTAACACAGATTAAATTATTTTATTGAATACCTATAGTTTGCTGCCATGTAATATGCTAAATTGGAGGGAGCAGTCCAGGATGAGCTTAAACCCTAATTTCCTTTCTTTCTAGAGCCTGAATATTTCCTTATTGGCCATGCAATTCTTTACCCAGGGAGCACAACCAGCTAATTAATTGCCCTGTTGTTCCTGCAGGTCAGGGCTCCTTTTAAGTCAGGCTAGTTATTCTTCAGAGTAAGAATTTATAGTTCCAAGTACATTCACTCAGTTCCTCTTCAGTCATACTTTTTTGTTAAGTTGTATCCTAGGAACAGATAGTAAACCTTCCTCTTCCTTCATCTCACCCCCCAAAAAATGTCCCAAGAAAGATTACCCAGTGACAAGATTATCACTATACTAGAGTGCTTAGCTTTTCTACCAGCCATTAACTTGGTGCTAATGATTTTTCCATTTCCTTGCTCACATTTCCCACCCACTGAACAAGAATACCTGGAACAAGTGTCAAGATAATGCTGTGCTTAAAGTCCTTGAAGTCTCCCCGGCCCATAGGAGTGAACCCCAACTGTACTCTGCTTTCTCTTTTAAAATCTCTAAACAACAGGGCACCTGGGTGGCTCAGTCAGTTAAGCGTCTGCCTTCAGCTCAGGTCATGATCCCAGGGTCCCAGGATGGAGCCCCACATCGGGTTCCCTGCCCATCAGGGAGTCTGCTTCTCCCTCTCCCTCTACCCCTCCCCCCACTGCTCATGCTCTCCCTCTCTCAAATAAAATCTTTAAAAATTTTTAAACATAAATAAAAAATAAATAATAAGAGACTGAAAGTGAACTAATCAGCACTACATAAACAAAAGAAAAAAATTATTCATTTAAAAATATTTGAGCTACCGCCTATACCTTAAAAACTAACTCAAAGCATATTTTTTTTTTTTTAAGATTTTATTTATTTATTTGACAGAGAGAGACACAGCGAGAGAGGGAACACAAGCAGGGGGAGTGGGAGAGGGAGAAGCAGGCTCCCCGCAGAGCAGGGAGCCCGATGCAGGACTCGATCCCAGGACCGTCGATCATGACCTGAGCTGAAGGCAGTCGCTTAACCAACTGAGCCACCCAGGCGCCCAGCATATTATTTTAATAGTTTTTTTTTTTTTTCTAGCTTTGAATGTTACTGGTGGAGATGAGCAATGGCTGTTAATTTTAACAGGTCTCCAGGGTACATACAAGCAATAAAAGCAGAAGGAAAAATGTAAGGAAAAGTGGGGAGGGAGAAGTAGGAGAGGGAGAGAAGAAGAAAAGAAGAAAGTAAGCACTGACAAAGTGCTACCAACAGTTATCTCACTTACCATTCAAAACCTACTGTCAATCCATTAGATGGTATAAAAGTAAATGGAGACATGTAGACGTGTGCTATATCTACATCTATGCCTATTACCTAACAGATCCTTTCCTCAATTATGGTTAAAACACTCATGGCTTCAGAAATGATAAAAGATTGAAACTTTTTTCCAAGAATGACAAATATGACAAAATACATTAAACTTAACCTATTTTACTCTTACCTATTACAAGTTTTCAAGTCTACCAGTACTTGAAGAAAAGAGAATTCATTCAAATCACAACCACTGAACATCTTCTACGTAATACTTCATGATAACAAGATCCTACAATAGAAGACTTGTATCGCTTTTTTAAAAATTTAAAAAGAAAGCCATATACAAGGCCAATTTTGCTTTTATGTAATTTGAGGTAGTTTTGAAAGTTCATGTAATATACCTAGTAAAGCTTTGTAGAGAAACAGCAAATTTACACCTAAATCTAAATGGAATCTTCAAACAGGCTTCTTTTACACCTCTCCCACCTTCTTCCATTTCACTGTCACCTCAATTCCTACAATTCTATAGCTATAACTCAAAGTGTAAGCCACTCCAATCTGTTACCCTGCACTCTCATTTTTATCTAATTCAGAATCTCCCTTTCCCGGGGTGCCTGGGTGGCTCAAGCCAGTTAAGCGTCCAACTCTTGATTTCCGCTCAGGTCATGATCTCAGGTTCCTAGGATCAAGCCACGCGTCAGGCTCCACACTTAGTGTGTAGTCTACTTGATTCTTTTTCCCTCCCTTCTGCCCCTCCCCACTCATGCTCTCTCAAATAAATAAAATCTTAAAAAAAAAAGAATTTCCATTTCCTAATAGATCACTTCCCTTCCAAATTCCTTTTAATATTTAACTTTGGTACCCCTAATCTGTTGATCTACTACCTAGATACCTCCTTATATCTTCCCTTTAAAAAAAAGGTTTTTTTCTTCTTCAGTGTAACCAAAATTCTTAGAATGACACTCTTTCCCAGAAATTCTCAATTATAGCTCATTCCCTGAAGTCCACTTTCCAGACTCCATCTTCCATGTTCGCGTAATACCTGACTACATTCTCTCTTGTGCAGTCCTTATCATACTTATTATAATATGTTTACAAGCCTAACTCCCTACTCTGATAAATAATGAGTTGTTTATGGGAAGGTATGGTATCTTAATTATCTTTATACCCC